AAATATACTAACGTTTCTCTTATTGTGCTTCTTACTTCCATCTACTCTTGTTATTTGAAATATAATTTAGTTCCTGTTCAACCGTGTTCTGATTCGGGGACTTATCAGGTGAATTGGTGTCCAAGAATACTAAGCATTAGGAATAGTTGAGTCTCAATAAGAGAAAATTACAATGACACTGTAGACCTAGATGCATTTTCGAATTTCACATGAATGATCTATTTTCTAAAAAAACTACAGTTAACTCATGATGACGAGTGTTAAATTGTATGAAACGTAAGTTCAAGTTTATCAGTCGAGTACCTTCAATCACTTCTCATCAAAAAGACAATTCTTGATTTCACTTGGTTAATTATATTTAATCATCATAGAAAAATAGTTGTATGATTAGAGTTGGTTCAGTTTAATAATAGAATAATATCCTCAAAGAGATTATTCAATCGCTTTAGTGGGATCAATCGAAAATGTTTTAATTCATCAGGTTACAACGTAAAATAAATTATATAATGAAGACGTTTTTAGGCAAATACCTTTTCAATGCTTCTTAGTAGTTTTCCACATAGGGATTAGTTCATTAGTTAAAGCATATGACTTTTATTTACTGTGTACTATGTTCGAAACCCACTGTATCTAATTACAAAATTAACCTGGATCATCTGGTTTTTTATTACTACTAGTAAAGACTGAATTCAGTGACCGAAATTAGGCTTTAATATTATGTGAAGTTGGTTAGTTCCAATAGTGTTACTAGTTGCTGTTTTTTTTCAGATGAACTGAATTTGACATGAGAGAAAACAGTTTATCCATTGCATTTCAGATTACCATGGGCTTTTGGAAATTTCTGGTTCCCTTCTAAACATATTAGCAGGGTAGGTAATCTTCCAGTCAGAAAGGTGACATGTGACTCTAATTTCTAGTTGTTTCTGAAGCATTTCTATTGAATGCTGATTGGATAAAATGTTTCTCAGAGTTTTTTAGGGTCCCTTTAGGATTTTTTTCGAAGAATTTCTTGGGTTTCTCCAACAATTTAGAGTAGGGTTTAGAAAGTTAGTGATGGTTAATCCAAAATGTGGTTTCGGTTTATGTAGTCATTAATTATTGGTTTGAGTCAGTTTAGTAGTTTCAGATTATTTAATGGTAGTCGGTTTAATTATCATAATTAATTGTTGAAGATGGTTAGCGGCAAGCCTGACAGTTGGTCACAGTAGTGCAGTGAAAACTGACTTTTCTTTTTGAATCATCTCTATCTCCAGTGTTGTTCTCTAATCTTAATAATAATACTACTAATTTTTCTGTTATTTTCATATTCATCATTATAATTTCATCTCATTATACTGTTATATTATGGTAACTATAACCAATGTTTGCCAGGTTCCATACTGTTGATGACTGACTAACTGATTGAGACTGTTTTAACATTTTGGGTAGTTCGACATTTTGATTTCTCTGTCATTGAATTCATAACACTACTAGTCAATCCTTTGAGTAGTACAAGGCTATAATCTTGTCTTGATAAGTGAACATTTCACAATATTCCAAAGATTTAACCTAACATGCATATGTAACAACATCAACTAACGTATATTTTCCTTTCTAATAGAAAATCCATTAGATATTATGAATTCTTTTCGTATCAAAGAGTTCTTAGCACAAACTTTACAATATTATAATAGATTTCGGTTTAATATACATTGGATTTGTAATCATTTGAGAAGATATTGATAAGTCTTCTAATTAAATGCTAGATTTGGTTTCCTAAGTTCTCTATTAACACTTAGGGTAAATCTACACAGTGTCTTGAACACGAGAGAAATATGGAAGAAACGCTTTACTCCAATGGTTTGTTTATGTACAGGAATTCTAGGGTATTTATGGTATTTTAGATGGCCTTGAGCTTCTGGAAATTTCTGGAACCCTTCTATACACAGAAACGCCACATGTGATTTTTCACTTTCTGGATGTTTCTGGTAACATTTCTATAGAATTCTCTTTAAATAAGATGTTTCTCAGCGTTTTCAGTGCCTTTTACGACATTTTCCGAGAAATCTTTAGGATCTCCAGCTTGGTTGCCCGTATCTCTCATACATCTTCAATGGAATAGTTATCTTTAATCAGACAGCTGTTGCAAATACCTTTTTACATCTATCATATGTAAGATGCATGAATTTCAATATATTCGTTCATCGTTTCATCAAATAATAGTCAAACAAGAAAATATGTCAAGAGTTTCAGTGCTTTGATTTGACATCTTATAAGTGGCACGTTCAAATCTACAATTATCATTTATAACCATTTATTTCAAATCAATTTACAACTGAAAAAGGTAATCGCAATATTTATTCAGTTGGAAGTTAGTTGGCCTAAATCTTTAAACAGATCGCATTTTCATAGCTAAAGTGACCGAGTTTTCTTAATCACAAATCAATAATATATTTAGAGAATTGTATCTTAATATATAAGTCATGTTGTGGTGTGTACTACTGATGTCGATAGATATAAGTAGTATGCATCATCAGTAGACAGTGAAATGTCTGGAGGCAGAAGGTTAAGAAGATAAAAGGAAAGAGAACAAGAAAAGAGAATGATTGATGTGACAAAGAAGCAAAAGTCAAGCCTAAGACAATTGATTAATAATTTGCAAATGAAATATTTACTGTATGATTCTCAAATCTTATTAACAGGTTCTGTAATTTTGTATTCACATACATTCGGTTGTTCCTACTTGTGTTCTCGTTCACTACAAGAGTTCTTCAATCATTTAATAACTTGGTGATAAATTTCATGACCTTCATACGATGTTGGATGACATTCAATTAAATACTATCATTAGGTATTTATTAGATCTATCCTAAGTCTGTTTCAGTTTAACAGTGAGATTTGGAGTTTTGTACAACTGTTGATTCATCGATATTCAGTGATGTCTGATATACGTTACAAAATTGAAAATCGCATGCTCATTAGTTTAAATGAAATTCGATAATATTAATAATGGTTCAGTTTTAAACATCAGTTGGAAGATTCAAGTAAACAATATCAAGTGAATTTTTAACTTCACCCCATTGCACAAGAAAGTGGCTATCAGGACTCGGTAGCTAAATGGGTAACGCGATGGCGTTTGAAGCAATCGTTACTGGGTTTGAGTCCCCAAGCGAACATCAACTTTGTGCTGCAGGTGCATCCGGTTGATGAGTTCCAAATAGGATGAAACGCGCATCTTGGACTCCTTTACTAGCCAATATCTATCTTTTTTTATAATAATGGAAACTGACTGAAACCGAAATTGTATATAGCCATAATATGTGGATAAGCCCATCTACATTGAGAAAATGACTTTCAACTTTTTTCGTGGAATTGACAAATAAATCAAATTTATTGTGCGTTACATAAAAAGCATAGCGGATTGGTTGAAGTTAGACATTAAAACCTCTGGATGCCGGCTCAGTGGTCTAGTTGGTCAGGCACGAGCTCGCAGGTCCTGGGTTCGAATCTTGCGGGGTATGGGGTCGTGGATGCGCACTGCTGGGGAGTCCCTTACTGGGGTGAGACGGCCGCCCAGTGCTTCCAGGTTTCCCATGGTGGTCTAGTTCCAATTGGCTCAGGATCTTAATCAGAGAAGTATATTTATGTATAGTGCTTGGAAAGTTTATATATCGTCACGAATGTATATTTCAACTACTTTAAGTCTTCTATGATCCTTCAGATCATATTAATTTGTGACAAATTCATTTGTAAAACATTGTATTTGCCTGTTATTGACATTAAAAACTGAAACGGACCTATCTCTATCAGACTAATGTATCGTAAACCGATAGGCATTTAATTATCAAAGTCCTTAATATCGATGACGCTAAAACACAATCCCTTACCATTGCGTTCCTATCTATTCAATAAGTAAGTAGTAATCTGAACGTTTTCATATGAGGCATTGGATATTGAATCCGAAACTAAATGTAAAGAGAAACGCTGCTAGTTAGTCAGCTACAACGTAGAAGCAGACACATATATGCATCGGTCCGAGTTGCTATAAATCATAACCACAACAAGATGAACGCCGAATTTATAGAAGTAGTGTAGTGAACAAGAACACGAGTGGGGACGATCGAATGTATTTGAAACCCGCAATTACAGAACATCTCACTAAAATCTGAGAACCATACAGTAAATAGTTAATTTGTAAAATATTAATCATCTCAAACTTGATTGTTCCTTTTGCAAATATCAGTCCATCGTCTCAGATTTCATTGTTCGTGTATTTCTAAAGCAATTGCTTTCCGTTTCCGTTCTCTCCTTATCGATCTTCTACTGAAATACATTCTATTTCTGACTATCGTTATATACTACATGTGTGGATATAAGTAGCTCACACCTTAGTAGTTACTTCAATGGTGGTAATTTATAAAAGAAAGATTGCATATAAAGATATAGTATAGGAAGAAAGACTTAGTTCGTAGAGTGTAAGATATAAAGTAATTTCAGTCTCACAGTTTAAAGGAAGATAGAGACTGCATACATTTACATCATTGTGATCGATTCTGTGCCGTAACACTCAGAGTTTGCAATCATTAGTTATGATAATTACACGGACATCAACATGACTCAGACTAGAGATGCTGAGACATTGATCAATTTCATTGATCAATCCTAAACTAGATAAAATACTCATTCCATATTCACTTGTTATAACCACAAATCCATTTCACTAAAATATAAAGTTTGTTCTCAGCAGTGCGCATCCGCAAGCCCGCTTCACGTGATTCGAACCCAGAACCTGTCAGTCTTTCGCCAAGTGCCTAACCAAGTAGGCCACTGGGCTGGAATACAACGTTGTTAATGTCTAACTTCAACTAATCCACAAAATTGAGCAACACATTCACCATTGTCATCAGTGAGTTACTACCTCACAACTGACCCGGTTGAACTCCACTAGTCACTGCTTCTCAATAGGCCTCCAGGATATATATCTTGAAGCCAGTCTTGTTAGATAACATAAATCAATAATATTCACAAGAAATAAACAAACTGTAATGGATAATATAAACAACAATTGAATGAAACCAAAAGGAATACAATGAAAATGTACAGTTGTTGTTGTTGTTTTTGTTGCTGTGATGTTTTTGTTGTTGTTGCTGTGGTGTTTTTGTTGTTGTTGCTGTGGTGTCTTTTTTTGTTGTTTTGTTTCTCTTCACTATTTTGTTTTCAAAATGAAATGGAATTTTTTAAAAAAACATTTTTTTATTTTTATAAAATTTTTCTGCCCATTTTACATAAGGCATAGCAAATTGAAAATGTAATTGTTGACGTGATTTACGTAATATTGAATCTTTATAATAAAATCTATTTATTATATAGAAGAAATAAAGAAAGAAAATACAAATCAAATTGAATAGAGAAGTAAATAGATGGTTAAATATAATTTAATAATTATATAAATGAATAGAAATCAAATGACTTACCTTATTATCAGTAGGGGTTTTGTGGATAGTATAGTAATTTTAATAGTTGAAATCATGAGTTAATTGAAGTTAGACTATCATGAAAAACCTGGAAGCTCTGGACGATCGTTTCGTCCGAGTATGGGACTCCCCAACAGTATGCATCTACGATCTCGCCTTATGGGATCCGAACTCAGGACCTATCAGTCTCGCGCGCCCGAGTGCTTAACCATTAGACCACTGAGGGTTCGAATCCCTTTGGGGGGTGGGATCGTGGATGTGCACTGTTGAGGAGTCCTACAATAGAACGAAACGGCAACTCAGTGCTTCCAGGTTTTCTATGGTGGTGTAGCTTCAATTGACTCATGATTTCAACTATTGGACTTTGATTATTATTGTAGTGTCTAGTATTCATGTCAAACCTACATGGATTATTGTATCTTCCATACAGACTAATTTATTCATTTTTATTGAGATACATTTTAACCGATGAGACTGTAATTTATGGACGACCTTTGAGCGACGCTAAAGTAACCTTGAGAATGTTCATCTGCTTACTAGCGTCAAATGAAGATTATAGATTAGTACGAGGAATTTGGATTAGAATTTACAGTTGGACGTTAGGATTAGGAATTAGATTTAATGTTTTCGTCATAAAGTGATATCAGCTAAAATACGAACATGCTATTTAGACAAATGGGTGAATGAATTTCAAGCCAAAATTCAAAACCTGCTATTTTAAACCTGACTGGTTAGTTCATTAATTATAGCCTCGCCAGCATTAATTTTTCTCTCTGAATTGAAGAGACCATTTTAAGTCATAAGATATTTTGTCCTTTATTCAAAAATGATCGTTTCCCGCCGTTTTTCTCTTTTAGTATTCCTCTCTGTTTTTTCTCTCTAACTGTTAGTTAATTTTCAATCAGTTTAACTTGCTTTATATTTGATGGGATGTTTTTAAGTTCTACCATAGTTTCTAGAATGGCGGTAACATATTTCTGAAACGAGTGTTTGTGGAGATTGTAGTAATTCGAATAGTTGAATTCATGAGTCGACTTAAACTAGACCATCATTCGAAACCTGGAAGCATTGGATGGCGATTTCGTCCTGTCGTGAAACTTCCCATCATCGCGCATTCACGATCCCACTTCGAACTGAGCGCGAACACTTAACCTCTAGACCACTGAGCCGGCCGGCATCTGACGGTGTTAACGTCGAACTCCAAACAATCCATGATGTTGCGCAACCGCCTACCATTGTTTTCAGTGAGTTACTGCCTCTACAATAGACATGTAAGAACTCCTCTGACCTGGGTTCGAGTCTGGCATGCGGGATCGTAGATGCAAACTGCTGAGGAGTCCCATACTAAAACGAAACGACTGTCCATTGCTCCTGGATTTTCCATGGTGATCTAGCTTGGATCGACTCATAAATTCAACTATTAAAATGACTATAATATCCACAAAATCCCCTCTTAGGTAATTGTTATTTTATAGTTTTTAATATGATACGGTCTGGTTTGTTTGTATATAAACTGTGTATACCTGAAATACATGATTCATACAGCGGAATCTGAAATTGGTATTCTGGACTGAATCGGCTGGATTAAGCGAAAAGAACCAGTAACTCTAAACTGTTCGTACTGGTTAACGTATCATCGGTTTGGCACATACCAAGGTCAAATAAGTCAGTGTTCCGATTGATGATTTAGTCAGATTATAATCAACAAACCATTAGAACAAAACAGTAAGTTGAGTATAAATGAATACAAATCAAGAGTATAGGGTTGTGGAGATAATTAAGTTATTGATTGAGATCTTGAACCGATTGATGTTAGACAACCATTGAAAACCTGGAAGCACTGGACGGCCATTTCATCTTATTGTAAGATAGTAACTCACTGAAGACAATGGTGGATATATCGTTCAATTTCATGGATTAGTTGAAGTTAGACATTAACATCGTTGAATGCCGACCGGCTCAGTGGTCTAAAGGTTAATCGTTCTGGTCCTGGGCTCGAATCTGGCAAGTCGAGATCATGAATGCTCACTGATGAGGAGGAGTCCCACGATAAGATGAAATGGTCATCCAGTGCTTCGAGTTGGTGGAGAAGATTTGTAGCTCAGGTGGATGATTTTGGTGGAGTTTTGTTCTCTGAGCTGGATGGTTTGGTCGTGAAGCTTTCATCGTTCTTCTGAACGACATCATCAGCACAAACTTCAAATAGAAGTGAAGTGTTCGAATTTCTCCATATGTGTTTCACATCGTTCAGAAGAACGATGAAAGCTCCACGACCAAACCATCCAGCTCAGAGAACAAAACTCCACCAAAAGTGCTTCGAGTATAAATAAGTTTATTATAATTATAAATTATAATCTTCATTTACCTTATAGCTCTTGCCATTTTTTCATAATCCATTAATTTATTATTACGATAATAACCCCATTCTTTTGCTGCTAATTGTGTATTTACAATACGAAATAATCCAGTTGATTTATTAACCCATTGAAATGCACTATCTTTACTAATTTCTAAACTATATAATATAAATTGCCATAATTCCATTTGTTTATTTTTACATCGATCATGATTATTATATGAATGTGAATAGGCAAATTTACGATATTTTCTTGATTTGATTTTATTCATTGAAGAGATAGATTGTTGTTGTATCTCTTTATCATTACAATCTAATAATTCATTAGATAACCAAAGAGTTGAATGAAAATCTTTATGCATACGTCGTGTGATAGGATTAGGCCACCATGATTCATATTCATTTATTTCATTTGATGATTGTATATAATGCTCTGATGATGGAGGCTTTTTTCGATGATATACGTTAGTAGTAATTGAATGATCAGTAAACTTTTTACATTGATTATTTACTATCTTTTCATCCTCTTTTTCTTCCTCCTTCTCCTTTTCCTCCTCCTCCTCCTCATCATCATCATCAGTAGAAGAATAAGAAGATGATGATGATGAATAGGATCCATCTTGATCATTTGAAATTAAAGATCTATGCTTAAATTTTCGTTTATTCGTTCGATATTTTCTTAAACGTTTTTGACGTATTAAATTATTATAATATTCAGCTTCAGAACATGTTAATGTACTATCTGAATTATATTCATCATTATTCTTTTCATTATTATATAAAAGTTTATGTTCAGAGTCTTCCTTTTCATTAGAAATGAATTCATTATCATTGAACATTGAATTCTGATTCAATTGTAAACGTTTATTATTCAAATCGTAATTATGTTGAAATAATGATGATGATGATGATGATGATGGTGATGACGACGATGATGATGACGACGATGATGGTGTTGAGGATGATGATGGTGATGATGATGATGTTGAGGATGATGGTTTTGAGGATAATGATGGTGATGATGATGACGATGATGGTGTTGAGGATGATGATGGTGATGATGATGTTGAGGATGATGGTTTTGAGGATAATGATGGTGATGATGACGACGATGATGGTGTTGAGGATGGAGATGGCGATGATGGTGATGATATTGAATAATCACATTTATTGATTTCTTCTGATGTAGATTTTAATGAATTAACTGTTGAAAAAATTTGTACAACATCATCCATACGTAAACCTGAATAAATTTCATAGAAGCAAAACATTTTCGAGTAAAGAATCTTTGTCAAATATGATATTCTATTCAAAATATAAGAGTATTCTTTTAAACAAACAACACTGTATGAGACTCCTCAATCTGTGAAATTTCTAAAATCTCCACAAAACCCATTCTGATAACACTGTATGATCAAAGATTCCAATACACAAGGATGAAAAATAGAATTGTGTTTATGAAATCAAATATAATGACTGTAATACAATGTATGTAGGTGAAACATCGAGGCAACTGAATATGACGGTGAAGGAATACAAATTATGCTTAAAGTACATTCCTAAATCTTCAGTTGATGTGAAGAAACTCGAAAACAAATCAGCTATACCATTACACTCAATAGAATCAGGTCATAGGATTGATTTCAATAGCATAAGAATCCTTCAAAAAGGTTTTCATTCTTACAAAGAAAAACTAACAGATGAAGTCCTATACATAGAAATAAATCCAAACAGTATTAATAGGAGAGACAGAATACAATCCGGTGTCCTATGGCAACTGACAATTAATAAGTAAACCTAAACTCTATCGTTTATTATTTGAATAACAGCAATCACATTCAACGGTTCTAATCAGCTATTTTGATCTGAATATGTTAAACAATTAACTGGAACAATAAAAATAACAAAAACTTTCAGTGACAAATACATTCTTTCTCTATATTATATGTTCTTCTGAATATTCACCGACCAAAGACAATATATGAGTGAATGAAATCTCTTCTCACACCACTTATGTATATACACTTCATTTCACAAGTCTTTTACACACTAATGCAAATACTTGCATTAAACATTGTTAACATGGATTGGATAATTTATTAAGTCAATATACAATAAATCGGAGAAACATGTACCCCTCCCGGGGCTGCTGCCGGTCCCAAACTCAGATAAAGGAGGAAGGTTGGGCATAGGGTTAGCGATCCTATCCCTTAGAAATCTAACTCGCTAAAAAAACGCTAACCGGAAAGAAAATATTCAAACCTTTTTAATATATGATATTATCAATTTAAATGGATTCTATCATGATATTGTACCATTGGAAAAGATCATGTCAAATAGGAATATTACTGAAATTTAGATAGAATTGTACAATCGATTCTTTCTTATATTTTAACAATTGAATTCACGATTCAATATATTATTATTATCAGCTTTATTCAATATTATATTTTTGGTACAATATAGAATTCTCAGCGTAAAGTACTTCAACAAGTTTCCGTTTCTTTCTACTTGGTCGGTCCTGGCGATAAATATTGAGTGATCGCCAGTTAGATGTTAGCAGTTCACTAAATGAACATCTGAATAATGTACATTCTTTTGGTTGTATACTGCCAGCAACCACATTGTTTCTTAATGAGTTTTTTGTAAGTTTGACAACGAAAGATTGTACACTTTTCAAAAACGCATCAGAATAGGTTATGCGATTAATAAACATAATGATACATTAAAACAAACAAAAATAGATAACTTGTTGAAATATCTAGATGGCAGGAACAGGTAGCCCAGATGCACAAGCAGGCCGCTTTTATCCTACTACAAGTAAGATTACTATTAAAAATCTTGAAGGACGGGACGGCCGTTTCATCCTAGTATGAGACTTTTTGGCAGCGCTCATTTATGATTCTGCAGCAAAAAGGCTCCAACCCAATACATTCGGTCTCACGAGTGAATGCTTAACCTCTAGACTGTTGAACCGGCATCAAACAGTGTTAATGTCTAACTTCAATCGATCTTGTACATCATATATATTTACATATGAAATCTTATCCATCCATCCTAAATTCTTTATTCGATGACTTTGGCGTACAATACTGATTCTTTTATCATATCCACTTGGTAAGATTCATAATCATACATTCAATTTCGTTTTTAAATCACGTCTCGACGTGATATTTCATCAATGGATTTGACAAATTTGTATACATCAGGACTCATTAGCCAGGTGGATAAAGTGATGGCGTTTGAAGCTAACGTTAGTGAGTTGGAAACCCAGAGTGAACATCATCTGTGAGACTCAGGCACATCCATCTGACGAATCCCAAATAAGACGAAACGCCACGTCTTGGATTTCACTACTAGCCACTACACATCTTTGCATATAGTGCTTGAGACTTAAGACTATATTGAGACATTACGCACATTATCCACATATACCTATAGGAGACTGACCAATCGCAGTTCTAAACATCAATAGGAATATTCAAACAAACTATACCAAGTGAGTTTTGTAGACATCGTTTAGAAATTTGATGAGATTTTTATATACTACTTAATATTTTTACAAGTAACTGAAATGTTTTCTATAAATTTCATGGAATTCACATAGAATTCTTCCTTTGGGGACATGGGAATTACGAATGCATATGATTACGGACAAAATCATCTAGGAATTGTCACTTTTGTTAATGATATCATCAAACAGAAGTGTTTTTTGATAGTAATATCTAAAACTAACATTTTTGTGCATGTAGTGAAGTAAAAAAGTGAGGAATCTTATTTAACATTAAGCAGATCTAGTGAAATGAAACAAGATTTAATTGGAAATGTCTTCAACATAGTTCTAATTGTTGTTCAAGATTGAATAAAGATCAAAAATTAGTTTTATTTTATAATGTGCTGGAAGAACGTAATATTCAATTAGTGTTAGCTTGTGACAAAGTCAAGCATCATGTTACCAACATCTACACAAAACACCTAATTAGCTGGGTGATACGGGATTGAATCCGTTAATGAGCATCAGGTACACCTTTCTGACAAGTGACAAGTAGCACATAATGTAGATGTAGGGCTTCCTGATGACTAACTCCAATCACCATCTTTTCTCAATATACTACACATAATGTCGAGTCACCTAGACCGGTGTGCACATTACAACCTGGTCGATAGGATTCTATCTGTACAAAGAAGGACCTGACATACATGACAATGATCACCACCTAGTGTTCAATCGATTGTAAATTGAATTAACAAGAAGTCATATGATTTTCGATAACTATCATCGATATTATTATTCCACAGTTTCATTATGAAATCGTGAAATATGGCGTTGACTAATTCTGCAATAATAAGTATCACACTACATTATAGTTTAAGTGAAGTTGAAAATGTAGATTTGTTAAATACCAACTCATTGAATCAATGATATTTCATACCACACAAGATTGAAATATGCTGGTTTTAATCTCACATAAGAACATGAGTCTAGTTAACATTAATTATACTATTTTCGATATAACTAGTAATTATTCATCTTGAGGGTATTTATCTTTCATGTATAGAATCTTCAGATTAAATAAATCAAGGCATTTGATAAATTGTAGACAATTTAATTCGATAAATAAGAGAAGATTGATGGATTTTGGGAAATGAAAGATTAGATCCTACTAAAACGTTCTAGTCAGAAATGTTTTCATCGTTTCAATTATTAGCACTCTATTTTATCCATATGTATTGATTGTTTAAATCTTCCTACTAGTGTTTAGGACTTTAATTGATAAGTCTCTTTTGGTATAGGTATATCTTATGCGGATCGTCTTAATAATACGGCCAAGTTTTGAATATTATAAACTGAGTTAGACTATGGATTGTATTGGAATCCAGGAGGCACGTTTCATCTCATTCGGGATTTATCAGTTAGATGCATTTGTACCCGAGTTGATGTTCATCCGGAGACACGAACTCAGTACCATCCTTTTTGAAAGCCACAGAGATATCCACTTAGTTATGAACATAGATTGATATTAGCAAATGCAATAGAGTGGATTTAAATGTGTTTTTATCGGTTGTTCAAATATATCGATTGGTGTTTAAGACTAATTGAAAAGTAAGATCATCACTATTGACGGTTATATATATATTCCTGTTCAATAACAATATGTTTAGTGTACTACTTACTTGGATTTTCAGTAAGAATAAGTGACCAAAATGTAAATATAGTCTGAACATGAGGTTTAGGGTAACAAATTGGTCCTTATTAACTAGTAGAGAGAAAACATAACATATCAAGTGCCAGTACGATAGAAGATAGAAAAATCCATGTCTATAGACCATAAAAAGTAATACTTCCACAGTTAGAACAACTAGCAATTTACGTTTTTATTATTTTTTATTTTAACACATAGATATTGGTACAGGGAGGTACTAGATACATATGGGCCACACAAATCTCATTTGATATGTGTGAGGGCTGTGATACTACCCAGGTGCTCAAACTGAAGCAAGTGGTTTTCTTAGGGGGCTACATCCAGATCTGAAAGTCTGATCCACAAGGCAGTATAGCAAGATGAGGAGATGCAATGCCATTGTAGCCGGTGACCAACGATTGGTTCATACGCCATTTGTTCCTTCAGGACCCTGAAGCCCATGTGCACCATTGGCATGGAATCAAGGTTTCCCAACTCCTTTAGATGGAATCTCAATGTCCACCAACCTGGTTAAAGTGCTGGACATTCGCTTTTTGTTCTCTGAATTTTGTAAACAATACCCCTGGTGTGAGAAGGTAATGAGTAGGACTTCTCTGACAGAGGCTATATACGCGTGACCATGTGAGAGCATTTCGAGAGGGAGAGCGGACTCTCCCCACTCTCGGCCCTACCAGAGCATTTGTTTAAAAAATTCTATTCTAACATGAAATCATCCGTATGAAAAATATCTTCTTTCACTAACTTATCTAACAAGTAAGTATTTAAAATATACATGCATTATAATGAAGAAACCATACATAATATAAAGCTTCTGTTGACAAGATCGAAACGATTCATAGTTCTAGTGGATGTCTTGGATAATCCTACATTATATGGGTTAAATTATCTTAAAATTATAAGTGCCTACTTCAAATGAGATGAAAACAATTCGCAACTAATCCATAAGTGCTGTAGTGTATGTCATTTCTGTGTACTTCTTTAGCAGAATATCTCATCGATTCGATTACTTTTGTTATACCCGGACGAGATTGAATGAGTGATAACTGTTAGGGATTACTTATGGACTAATATTATACGTATATACCCATTATATAACTATTAAGTAATTATATTATATGTATATTCATCTTCCATTCATTATAAGCTTCCATTTGACCTATCGATTACTACTATATGATTCAATCTATCCGTTAGAATCTCTTACAATTACAGCCACTTTTGACTTGATCTTATACAATTGTTATTTTCTGTTTGATGATATGGTGTGGTCTGATTTATTTGTATTTAAACTCAGTATGTTTGAAATATACAATTCATATGGCGGAAGTTGAGATTGATGTTGTGGACATAATATGCAGAGCCAGGCAAGAAAGGGACCAGTCGGTACTCTGGGTTGTTCATACTGCTATATACATCATTGGTTAATCGTCCAATTCAACGTATCTAAATTGGAGATCGTATTTCGCGAGAATCTTATAAGCCTAGGACATAGAAACGTTAATAACCAAAGCTTCGAATAATTGAACTGGTTTCGTCTCTTAAATATATAAGGTTTCCTCATCCTGATAAGTAATAAAGGTTTCAAACAAATGAATACGTCCATATTTTGTAATTCACATATTAAGATATTGTTTTTGGAAGTATATAAATCTTTGAACATGATTAAATATGTTTTCAGTAGTCTATTCCTTGAAACATACAATTCTAATGATCTACAGCTAAGCTATTCTCTTTTAAAATTAATAAACAATACATTTTGGTGTATTTTTGAAGATTCTATTAATAAGATGTAAAAGCTAATGAAAATGAATATTCACAGATTGAAATCATGAGTTAATTGAAGCTAGACCACCATGCCGGCTCAGTGATCTAGTTGGTTATTTGACTTATTCAATTCCGTTATTTGTTTATTAACGCGAGTTCAATCGACAATGATATACAACGATTGACGACATGTATATTTCAATAACAATCATTCGATAATGATCATTCATTCGATCTAACTGGAGTGAGATTCTGGGCGACTAGATTAATTCAAAAAGGTAATGATGTATTATTGAATAAGATTATTCGATGACTTTGGTGTAAAATACTGACTCTTTTATCATATTCACTTGATAAGATTCATAAGGATACATTCAATTTCGTTTTTAAATCACTTCTCGACGTGATATTTCATAAATGGATTTGACATCAGGACGCAGTGGCTAAGTGGATAACGCGGTGGCGTTCAAAGCTAACGGTAGTGAGTTCGAAACCCGAAGTTAACATCAACTATGAAACTCAGACACATCCATCTGACGAGTCCCAAATAGGAAATCATGGAATTTCGACCTCACCCATCAGTATCTTGAAATATTGACATTATATTTTTTAGTACTCACTGGTATTCAGTAGATTTTCAGTTGATCATTATCATTCACATCTGAAATATTGAAATTTTAATTACTGTTTGACGTTTGAATGCCATTATTGTCTAGTCTTGATACTATCATTAAACATCACATTATAATGCATAACAAATTCAAAGATATGAATTTGAATATGATAACTAAATTGCTACAAAATCAATCAACTGAATGATAATCATGAGTTATTTAAAGCTAGACCACCATGAAAAACCTGGAAGCATTGGACAGCCGTTTTGTCCTATTGTGAGATAGTAACTCATTTAAAACAATAATGGATGTGTTGCTCAATTTCGTGGCTGAATTGAAATTAGACATTAACATCATTAGATACCGACCAGTTCAATGGTTTGTAGGTTAAACATTTGTGCGCAAGACCAATTGGTCCTTGATTCGAATTTCACAAAATGGGATCATAAATGCCCACTGCTAAGTCCCACAGTAAAACGAAACATTCATCCAATCCTTCTAAGTTTTCCATAATAATCTAACTTCAATGAACTTCAATGATTTCGGCTATCACAACAACAACAACAACAACAAAATTCCCCCTTCTAATATGAATAATAATCACTTACTAGAAACATCTAATGTATCCATCCAAGCTATATCTGTACTTTCCAATTGTGATTCATCTTCATTAAGATCATTTGAAATGATTTTTGTTTGTTCTTTTATATTATTAAATAATTCATCATTATTTTTATGATATTCATTATATTCATTGAAATAATAATTATTTGTCATTGTATAATTCATTGCATAATACAATGATGGATCTAATAGATTATCAAAATGATTTGATAGATTTAATATATTCATTGTTGACATATTATTATTATTATTATTATTATCTATATTCATACATTCAAAGGATTTATTTGATGGGAATACATTTTGATTGAATAATAAATTATCTTCTATAGAATTTTTTAAATCATTATGATTCAATGAAATGGAATCAATCGATTCTGATGAACATGGTGAATTAGATTGCCATGTTAAATCATCTGGTATATTTGTAAAGATTTCATTGATATAATCAGTTGTTTTATTGTTGATATCATTATGTTGTATAGAGTTTTCAGTTTGAGATAAGAAATCTGGAATAAATCATTTTGGAAATATATTCATTTATATTACATCATCAAAATATATATATATGGGACTTATTGCAATGAATATATGTACATCATATAAATCAATTGATTTTGTGTGTGATCTATGATACTACCTGAATGCTTAGACTAAAGAAAGTGGTTTTCTTATGAGGTCACACTCGGAACCTTTGACCTAAAGATCGGATCTACAAAACAGTGAAGCAATGTGAGGTGATGCAGTCCCATGGTATTCGATGACCAGCAATTGGTTCATACGGTATTTGTTCTCTCAGGATACTGGATTGTATGTGTTTCATTGACTTGGAATCAGGGTTTTCCAACTCTCCTAAGTGGATCCTCCCTGTCAAATAACCCAGTTAAAGCTCTAGACATTCGATTTTCATCCTCTAAATTTCGTGAAAAAAAAATTAGTTCCGCTAGAAGGCAGTGAGTAGGACTTTCATTTCAATGGTTGTATACGTGTGGCCATGTGAAAGTATTTAGGGAAGGAGAGCTGATTCTTCCCATTCTCGGCTGTACCAGGACATTTGAGGGCAGAGCTAAACATTTAACTTGATTTCAAAATTTACTATCAATCGAATCATTATTTTCCTTAATATCAAAATATAAAAGTTTTTCGAATTCAAATCTTGTTGATTACTTCTTGTTTTCATTCCTTTTAAAGAAAATGAATTCATTTGTCCTATAGATTCCCTTCAACTACTCAATATCTAGAAGAAACTTATATATAAGGTTATATGGTAAAGTATTGATTGAAATAGGTTAATCATTCATAAGGTTCATTATTCATCAGATAAACAATTGAATACATTGGGGAGAGAAATGTAGAAACAGATAAGCACATTGAATCAAAGAGATTTCTAAAGTAGGAAACTAATGATACCGATTAGGTAATTCTGACTATGAAAATGAATTAACCAGTATAATTCAATAAAGGGGTAGGGGGGGTAGTAGTTCAAATCTCAAATGATAATTTAGAATACTAAGAACTAAAGTCATTGATATAAAACAGATCATTTAAAACAATTTCTACATCAGTCAATGTTGATAAAAGACATTCGTATATTGTTTCTATTCCCTTGATTGTTACAAGTGACTAAATGAAGGGAAACCATGAATGAATTGAATCTTACAGTTATTATCTGTACTATTACTATTTCCTTTCATTAGTATACCAGTCAGTTATATCGAAGAATACAAATATTCTTTAGATATTTATTAAAAACCGTTAATTGATTATTAGTACTTAGTACTTAAGTGGATAACGCGATGGTGTTTGAACCGAACGGTACTAGGTTCGAGTCCCGGGGGTGAACATCAACTCTGGGATGCGAGTACATCTAGCTGACGAGTCCTAAATAGGACAATGTGTCACGCGTCCTGAATCCCACTGCTAGCCACTATCCATCTTTGCTTAAAAAGTTATGTATACCATTTAACTTACCATTGTTTATTATTTCATTTGTTTCATTTATTTCTGCTTTTTCATCTACTGTCCATTGAATATCATCGTATTGTTTAAATAGACTACATTGAAATAATTCAAAATAATAAAAATAAAATAAAATGAAAGTGTAAATGATTTAAATTAACAGTATGAAGTTGTAATGATTATTAAGTTTTTGATTAAGATCATGAACTGATCAATGTTAGATCACTAGTTGAAATAAGAAAACACTGGATGGACGTTTCGGTTTAATGCGGGACTCCTCAGCAGTGCTCATCCCCGATCCCGCGAACGAGATCTATATGACTTTGTGAAAAATAGAAGCTATATTTAAGTATATTTGTTTAAATAGCTTTTAAATAATGTAATGATGACTATTATTTTCCAAATGAGTATATAACATTGACTAAATCTTCAATAATGAGATTGTGGAGGTTTTTGAGTTTGAATTGAGATTATAAATCAATCAGTGTTAGTCCACTGTTAAAAATCTGGAAGCACTGAACGGCCGTTTGGTTTTAATATGTGAACTCGTCAGTGGTGCCCAACCACGATCTCGATGGTTCAGTGATGTAGAGGTTAAGCGTTTCCACGCGAGACTCGGGGTGGTGGGTACGAGTCTCTTTGGTGTAGGGTCATGAATAGGCACTGCTAAGAAGTTCCATATTAGTGCAAAACGACAGTCCAATGCATTCGTGTATGTAATGGTGGTCTCATATTGATTGGTTCACAACCTCAGTTTATTTAATTTGCTTGACCATTTTTGTGTAAGTAAGTTTGGTATAAGAGTGGATTTTTGTCGGGAACTGAAGCCATTCAGTGTACTATTGTAGATCGGGAGGTAACGGGTAGCTGATTCCGTCTAGTATGGAATTTCTTATATCCACAAACTAAGGTATTCATGTCTTTTAACTAAAGTTCAACCTTTGGAAAAACAAGTTATTACCCAGTACCGGTTGCTTCAAACACCATCATGCTGTCCATTTAGCCACTGAGCATAGATAGCTACTTACCTGTGCAAATGGTTAGGATTATCCCGTTACTGACACTTTTAATTGAAAATTGAAAATTAACTCTCGGATGCAGGGACCTCCAACTCACTAGTTCTAAATAGAATGGAACGCGCGTCTTGCATCCCACTGCTAAACACATTCCTTCTATTCTATATTAAGTTGTATCATAAAATCTATATCGAGGCAATCTGCACGGAGTGCTCGTACGTTAACCATGAGTGATCGAATTCCAGCCAAAAGTACCAATAACAGAATAATCTGAATCATTTCAATTCGATTTCAGTTTGAATAGATTTCTAATTTATTTTCCTAATATCATGAACCAATTGATGTTAGACCACCGTTGGAAACCTGGAAGCACTAGACGGCCGTTTCGTCCTATTGTGGGACTCCTCAGTAGTACGCATCCACGATCCCGCTCGCAGGATTCGAACCCAGGGGCCTTCAGTCTCGCGCGTGAACGCTTAACCTACTGGACCAGTGAGCTGACATCCAATGGTGTTGGTATTTAACATCAACCAATCGACGAAATAGCGCGACCATCTTCCTTTGTACTTAGGTAGATACCTGTCTCTACCCGACCCGGATTCGCTCCACTGGTCATGGCTTCTCACTAGAACTCCGAGAATTCCCTCACAAAGCTATTCCCTATTGAACACATTGTAATTATCAGTATGCGGTTGTGGGGGTGGTTAAGTTTTGATTGAGATCATGAACAGGGAGTAGACTAATTGAATGGATTGATCGTCTTATCTACTTTGAAAACCTAACTTACCTTGATAGATTCTTGTGATTGATAAACTTTCGACACGAATACAGATTCTCGTATGAATTTTCTTGATGTATAAAGGAATTGAAGATTGTGTAATACTGATGTTAACAATATCGTTCATTGTTTGGTCTCTTAATAACAGTTATCCGGGTGTGAGGCAGTTATCTACCGAAGACAATCCAAAATGATCGCACATTATCATAGATTAGTTGAAGTTAGACATTTACATAGTTGGGTGGCAGCTCAATAATTTAGAGGTTAGCCTTCCACACGAAACCGAACGACGTGGGTTCGAATCCCGTGTTTTCAATGGTGAACTTACACTGGTCGGTTCATGATCTCAATCAAAAACTTAATATTCTCCACAATCCCATACTGATAATTATCATGTACTCACTAGTAACAAGCTTCATGAGGGAATTCTCGCAGTTCTAGTGAGACACCGTGATCAGTGGAACTAATACAATATCAGATAGAGACAGTTATCTACCTAAGTATAATGAAAGATGGTTGAGAAATTTCATAGATTGGTTGAGGTTAGACATTAACACCGTTGGATGCTCGCCGGCTCAATGGTTTAGTGGTTAAACACCCGTGTTCGAATTTCACGAGACAAGATCGTAGATGCGCACTGCTGAATAGTCGCACAATAGGATAAAATGGTTATCCAGTGCTTCTTTGTTTTCAATGATGATCTAACATCAATCGATTCATGATCTCGATCATCTACTTAACTAATCCTAATTTTTTTTTAAAAGTTTAAATCTATAAAGTATTGTTTTGTTATATATTTCACCTTTAAACATTGATTTCTATTAATTGTAATATTGAATTGAATAGATTACATATATTTGTAAGTTATATGGATAAAATGTCTAGACCACCCATGGAATAGACCTATGATAATGAACTTTGATAATTCATTATAGATTTTTTTTTCTTTTTTTTTGGTGGATGAAATAAAGATTGTAACTAGGTAATCAATGAACATTATCAATGTTTTCCATTCTCAATTCCATGGATCAAAAACCGGAAAATTATTTTTGTATTTTTTTAAGAGTAAACAAACAAACAGTGTGGTGGGTATCTATGTCATCTCAGTTTTGAACTGTAAAAAAAAGGCTTTTTGATGGAGTTTTGTTCTCTGATGTGGATAATTTAATCGTGGTGATTATATCATTCTTCTGAACGACATCATCAACAGAAACTTTACGTAGCTATAACTTAACAAGGTATTTCATGTGTGATATTTAGCCTATGGAATGAATTATTTCTAGTATGACTTTTATTCATTAGCAACAATAAATGAGGATTTTGAATTACGAGTTATTAGTCCTTTTTTAAAGTATCACTTTCTATAAGAAACTCCTTCTGGGACTACTACCGGTCCCATGTCCGGATAAACGAGGATTGGGCATGGGGTTTGTGATCCTATCCTGTAGAAAACTAAATCGCTAAAAAAAACGCTAACCATAGAAAAAAATAATTCAAACCATTAAAACTCTACTCCGGGATTTAGAAGTTATGACGCCTCATGTTGAAAGCCGACTTTTCAACGATATCATTTACTTAAAGTTTTATTTTAATCTTTTTATTCTTCATTTTGTATTGTTTATTTGAATCTTCTCATTGATGTTAAGGACTACAATTGATCAGTCTCTTATTAACATATGTGCATCCTGTAGGGATTGCCTCGATATTGTCATAGATCACAACCATTATAAACAGTGATGTATGGTGACTAGCAGTTGAATCCAGGACACGCATTTCGTCCTATATGGGACTCGTCAGTTGGATGTACCTGCATTCCAGGATTCAGGACTCGGCAGCTAAGTGGACAAAGTGGTGGTGTTTGATACGCACGGTGCTGGGTTCGAATCCCTGAGTGAACATTTATTTTATTTAAACACAAGGATGCACAAAATACATAAATCATTCGATTTGTGTTAGGGCTAGGATACTTCCCGAATGCTTAAACCGAAGCAGGTGGTTCTCTTAGAGGGTCACACCCGCAGCCTTTGGCATGAAGGACTAATCCACAAGGCAGTGGGGCAACGTCAGGAGATGTGGTGACCAACAATAGGTTCATATGCCATTTGTTCCTTTGGGACTTCGGAGTCCATGTACACAATTGGTTTGGAATCAGGATTTCTCAACTCCTCCAGGTTGACTCTACGTGTCCACCAACCCTGGATTCCACTACTAGCCACCACCCATCTTTGTTTATTCTTTCTTCATTTCTAGATCATTACTCAGTCATTCTTTGATACTTGAAATCTATGAACAATTAATGATGTAATATCTTTCTATAATTCTATAAACTCATATATTTACATAATCATTATAAATACGATTGTACAGCTTCAATAAAATGATATCGTTAAGAAGAAAATTTTCTCCTCTCATTCACCTTTTTCTTTTTCTCCTTTTCTTACTACTATTACTCCGGTTTCGAAAATTTAAAACTTGACGACTATGTGTTTAATGGATTAATTTATGCATAGTGAGTACAATTTTGCATGAGACGGCGGTTTCGTCCTAGTAAGGAACTTTTTGTTAGTGAACAATTTCGGACTCAAGATTTCAACCTATGATCTTCTGTCTCGCATGCGAACACTTTAACTCTAGACTACTGATTCGATATTCAACGGTGTTAATGTCTAATTTTAATCAATCCATGAGCTTGTGCAACCATTCATCTATTGTTTGAGGCAGATAATTGTCTCTACCCGACACAGATTAGTCCCAATAGTCATGACCGTCCAGTATTTCCAGGTTTTCAATGGTGTTTTAATAAAATATTATCCACCTGAAATCATTTTGTTTATTCTTTGGTGATAATTGAACTCTAGCAGACCAAGTTGCAATACGACTACTAGTTTAAGTGATCAGGTCGGTAATAAGCTCTGATTAATACATAAGTTTTAATTCTAATTGACACCTGTTAGGAATTTAAATGGAGGTTATAATCCTTGTCTTACTTAGCTTTACAGTTTGAGTACTTATTACTAAGCTATTTGGATTGCAGATAGCATCTTATATGATTGAGATATTTACATCAGGTTAGCATTGAGTAACGGTTAATTTCGTGTTTGTCTATTTCGTTAATCCGATTGAATTATATATCTATTTTCCATTTAGGTTATGAATCGATCAATGTTAAATCACTATTGAAAACAAAAAAAACACTGGAAGTCTGCTTCGTCCTAGTATGGGACTGCTTAGCAGCGTGCATCCACTATTCCACAAGTATGATTCGAACCAGGACGTTCTGTTTCAGATGAACGCTTCTCCT